GGGAGATGGGCACTGCCTTCTGCTCCCAAAGCCTGCAGCGGTGCCCGCAGGGTCTTGAAAAGCTCCTAGGCTACAGGATGGAGCTTGTGTGGGAGCATGCGTGAGCCTGACAGCCCATGCAGGGCGCTCTCCTGCCTGGCCTGCTTGCCTTGCTGAGGTACACCCTTGCCAGCGGGCCAGCACCAGGCTCTGCTCCTGACCCCGCGCCGCAGCGGCACACGACACGGAGCCTGCTGGCGTTGCTGGGACCTGGGCAGCTGCTAACCTGCCTCAGTTTTAACCTGCCTCAGTTTTTACCTGCCCGTGTTTACTGATTGCCAGGACCATCCTCCTGAGCGTGATCTCGCTGCTGAACGAACCCAACACATTTTCCCCAGCCAACGTGGATGCCTCTGTGATGTACCGCAAGTGGAAGGAGAGCAAAGGGAAGGACCAGGAGTACACGGACATCATCAGGTGGGTGCTGAGCTGAGCCCAGGCCCCGCAGCGCTGTCGAGACAACTTCCTAAGCTGTTACCTTGTAGGACTCAGGGCAAATCACACCCTGTTGAGTCCCACCTGCGGGTTGGTAGGAGGGAAGGGTTCTGGATCTTTTGGGAGAAGCTTGTCTGCACTGTGTACCCAGCTTTGCTTTCTGCCTAAGCTCTGGCCCTTTTTGGCTCCAGACCTGAGAATCTGAGCTTGCAGATGTGGTGCCAGCACAGCCTTGCTGCCAGGGCCTTCTCATGGGACAGGACTGGCATTTGAAGCTCCTGAGCTGCAGGCTGGCCAGCCCTGGCGTGGCTGAGGGGCCCACAGAGCAGGGGACACATTGAGCACAGCAGGGCGAACGTGGCTGCACTGCTTGCCCCATGCCCCGTCCTCTCTCCTGTCCCCCCTGTCACCGGGTGTCCCTGTGGCAGTGTGCACTGCAGAGCTCCAGCCTCACCCCTCTCCTCGCCCTCTAGGAAGCAAGTCCTGGGCACCAGGGTGGATGCTGAGCGGGATGGTGTGAAGGTCCCTACCACGCTGGCAGAGTACTGCGTGAAGACCAAGACTCCAGCCCCAGATGAGGGCTCTGACCTCTTCTACGATGACTACTACGAGGACGATGAGATGGAGGAGGAAGCAGACAGCTGTTATGGTGATGAGGATGACTCTGGCAATGAGGAATCCTGATGGCCCTCTAGCACTGTAAAACTTATTATAAACTACTGAATTTTACCTCAGCTAGGACAAACTGGTTTAAATTTAGGATCTGTCAGCCCTGAAATTAACTCTCTACCTCGCAGGGAGACTGTTCTGCTGTTGCAAAGGAAATCCCACCACTGTCTTTGTAGAAAAAGGGGAGGAGAAAAAAAAAAACAAAACCAAACCCTATTTTGTAAACTTCCTGGGTGGGGGGATGGGGGGGTGGGGAAGCTGCAAATCCACAGAATCTGGGGAGCTGTTGGCTCTGCCTGGATGAGGAGTGACAGCAGAACCTGGTGGAGGCTGCCCATCCATGGGGCACGGTGACCTCAGCCCCAGGTGGGAGGAGCTGTTCAGGGCGGCCCTGGAGCTGTGCGAGGTTGCTTTGGGTGGGAGGTGTGTGAAATGTGGAGCTTTGTACAGCCTTTGAGACCTCTGAGCAGGATGGGTGGTGGGGCTGTCCTGGTGGGACCCTCCTGCTTTCCCTGCCTGTGATGCTGGAGCTGTGTTTGCAAGGAGTGTGGTGGGAAGGGCTGGGATATGGGGCAGGACATGCCCAGCAGCTGCCGGGCACTGCAGCATGTGGGGATGGGTTGTTTGTAGTTTTTATCCAGCTGGGAGGGATGGGATAGTTCTGAGTCTTTCTGCTTCTGTTTTTTTGGATGCTATTTAATAAAGTATTTGGAGGGAGTGGCTCTGTGGTGTGTGGGTGAGGCTCTGCCCAAGCCTGTGCCCAGCCTGTGAGGGTTTGTCAGCTGTGGACTGGCTCCTGCTCTGCTGCCCTGTCTGGGGGTGTGGGCTAGCTGCTCTCCTGGGGCTGGGGGCTTCAGGGCAGCATGGGGTCACACAGGAACCCATTTCCCTCTTCAAATGTGTGGAGCAGGCAGGAGCATCTGGGTGGGGTTGCCTTTGGCCTGGAGAGCGTCTCTGCCCTTCCTGGAGGGTGCAGTGTTGGCTGCCTCTGCCCCAGAGCCCTTGGAACCTTCCAGCACTGCCCTGGGAAGGTGTTTTGTTTTTTTTCCTCTCCCAAGGTGTTGATCTCCTCCAAGCCCAGTCGTGCAGCACAGGCACCTCTGCCCACAGCAGACCTGCCTGGGCAGCGCCCGGCTGCGCGGAGCGGTGCCCAGTGGGTGCCTGGGGCCCTGCAGCTGCTCTCATCTGGGTGTGCCCTGAGCCCACGGGCCAGGGCTGGCTGGGACCTGTGAGCTGCCAGGGCTGCGGGGAGCTCCTGGCTGCCTGCTCCAGCAGAGGGGCATCACTGGTGCCATGGGGGCATCTGTCTGGGAGGTCAGCTATGCCACCAGCTCCTCGGGCCGTGGCAGGGATGAGCTCCTGGCAAATTGCCTGCCTGGGGCTTCTCTGTGACCCTCACAGGGCTCCTGCCCCAGCTTCCACCCCCTGGGCAAAGCTCATCCGTGGGCTGGTGAGCAAAACTTCGTCCCTGCCCGAGTCGTGCAAAGGGGGTGAGGGTTTGAGTGGCACCTGCGGCCGCACGCGGCCAGCACATGTGCCTTGTGGCCTCAGGAAATGAGGCTAAAAGGTGAATAGGATTATTGTCACTTTATTCAGGCCTGGCAAATGGCTTCCAAGGTCACCCAGCTGGCACAGGGCAGTGGCAGCCCTGGCTGCTGCCTCAAATCCAGTCCCCCTCCTTTTCCGCTCCATGCACACCCAGACTCTCCCTGCACCCTGGCCAGTCCCTGCTCCCAGCAGCACGAGTTGTTGTGTCCCCCCGGCCTTCGCTGGATCCTTCCGGCCGGGGGCTTCCCTGCTGCACCGGGGCTGCTGCTGCGCGGGGGTGAGGTCGTG